AACCTCTGGCTCTCCCCCTCTCAATGTATGTATATACTTCCAAGCTCGTTCTTCTCCATGGAACGCGCGTTGATTCTCGGAAATTAAAGCGCACTCGTACTTGATTAGACTGGAGGCTTCATTTCGCCTCGTCGTACATCTCAATGAACGGGAACGTTGCCTAGAGCACGATTACGATGCCGTATTTGCCTCATCCGCTCGTCGGGCTCAGTCCACTGCACACGAATACGAGCAGCAGCTCTCGCAAACTCCCCGGAATGAGTTCGCGAGAGTTGGCAGTAGCGTGAAACGATGCAATAGTCGATGCCGTCGGCTATCGCAGCTTTTCGCCGTGGTTTTGACGAATGTTTCTGCCGCGGCGACATCGTAAAATTTCATTGTTGATGTGCCCCTCGACTGACGGCAGTTCTCACTCAAAACGCATTATATATTCACAGTTATGTCTAGCATGGAACCGCAGAAATGTGTGACTGAAAAAAAAACTGGAACAAGAGACTGGTCAATGTTTAGCCTGAACACCTTGCGACATTCGCAAGATGTGTCAAATTTTCTGGAACGCAGTTAGCAAATGTCACATATTAGTCATGGCGAATAAAAGACTGAACGTTTGCGTTGTGCTGACTCAAAAGCTGTTATATTTTCTCCATTCCAATTATCGCAGTCACAACATCAGACGGACGTGTCCCTTCAGAAATATTCATAAAGTAATCATTCGCCGCGCTGTCAATGTTTCATGCAACATCCTTTGTTGAATCACACTTTCAAGAAGTAAAAATTGCATGAAAGCAGAATGAGAAGAGCTTTTTGTCGTCGGTCAAAAATTTAACATTTTCGAGTAAGAAGTATACGATTTCCCAAGGCTCTATAGCTGTTACACATGGGAAATCCTTTGGGATTTCTTTCAGAAAACGGGACAAGACTTCGGGATCCCTCCAATCCGATTTTTTGGGTTGTGGATGAATAAAAAACAACATATTTAACAGTCGTCGCTCATTTATTAGTACTAAACATATGGAC